TATGTTTTTGCAGCTCACCATCTTCTTCTTGACTGCCTCAATGAAATATTCAAAGGTCTCCTTCTTGGATATTCCATCCCCAAGGGAAGTCCAAGGCACCTGGTGGAGCTGTGTTGTTTTATTCCCTGAAGTAGGTTACAAAGTGCTGACTTCATCTGGGGATGAGTGTTTCTACTGAAGAAAACTGTGGACTTGTTCATGTTCACCCTCTGCCCTGAGAATTTGTGATATAAGTGCAGAATGTTCCTCAACACTCCTACTTGATGGGGCTCAGCTTTGCAGAATATTAAAGTATCATCTGCAAAAAGTAGATGAGTGAGGGTTGACCCTGTCTTGGAAATCTTGAGCCCTTTGAATTCCCCACTGCTTGTTACACCTCTTTACAATGAAGAAAGAACCTTAGAAACAATAAGAAAAAGATATGGGGAGATTGGATCCCTCTGCCTGAGTCCTCTTGAGGGAGTAAGATATCCCCTAGGTTGTCCATTGATCAGAAATGAGAATGTTGGTGTAGAGATACAAACATATATCCATTTAACAAAAATTGTATCAAATCCCAGTTTCAGCATGGTTTTGCATACACTTCCCTACTCCACTCTGTCATATGCTTTAAGCATGTCCAACTTCAGGCCATGGAACAGTTCTTACATATTCTGTGTCTATTGAGGTAGTGAAATATCTCTTGAGTTATGACTACATTGTCCATGAGCTGTCTGCCTGGAGTGAACGTTGCATGTGCTTGACTGATACAACAATCCAGACAAGTCTTCAATTTTTTGGCTAGTATCTTGGCAATTATCTTGTACACCACCCCACATAAGCTAATAGGCCAAAAGTTGCTGATAGAAACAGGATTCATACATTTGGGTATAAGGGCCAGTATAGTATGATTTTAAATACATTAGAAGTTGCCCAAATTCAAAGAAGCTGATCACAACTTTGCATAGGTCTTTCTTCAAAAGTGGCCAGAAGTGTTGATAGAACAAAGCTGTCATCCCATCTTCCCCCGGTGCCTTAGAAGGGTTCATCTAGAAAAGAGATTTTTGAATTTCCAGCTCTCCCACATCTGCCTCAAGAGATAGGTTCATTGAATGTGTAATAACTGGTCTTATGTGTTGAAGAGCATCTTCTTCCTGTAAGGATCCTTCTAAAGTAAAGTGATCATCATAGAACCTGAGAATGTGCTCACATATTTTCCCATCTGTTGTAAGCTCTCTGTTCCCATCTACCAGTCTAGTAATGGCATTTTGTTTCCTCATTTGCATGGTCATAGCTAGAGCTGTAAACGAACCGAATGTTCGCGAACAAAAGCTTGTTCGAGATCGTTCATGTTCGACAAAAGCTCGTTCATTTGTTAATCGAGCTGAGTTCAAACAAAAAATTAGGCTCGTTTAATAATCGAACGAACACGAGCTCGTTTGTGAACATTCGATTATGTTCGCAAACATTAATTTCATATAATTTTATTATATTTTTTATATATTTTCATAAAATATTTTTAATAAAAAATCTACAATTGAATATAATCTTATTTATTTTTTTGCTCGGAACAGGACTACTAATCTCAGGGGTATTTCAACTGCCAAACCGAGCTGCAGTTCTTATTCCTCAATCGACTAAAGTCGAAGTCCTCCGATAGTATTATCGCTCATATCAATGCAGAGGAAATGAATGCATTTCCATACTACTTAATTTGACGTATAAGTAAGTAATTAAGTAAAGGAAATAGATCAAGATTTTCTTTTATTTTAGCTAAAGATGAGATCTCGAGCTTGACTCATCTACCGATTTTGTTTTTCATTGGAAAGTCAGACTTTGATCTTAAGTAAGGTCTAAAATATAAAAATATTTTTATTTTATTCTTTTATTTTTGAGTTCGAACGAAAAAATTTTGAGTTAATCAAACATATTTAAAAAGTTTATGTATTAAATTATTTGAACACGAACGAACTCGAACTTTGACGAACAATTAAACGAACGAACTCGAACAAGATTTTGTGCTCAAAAAATAAACGAACGAACACGAACACTGTTCGAACATAACGAACATGAGCTCGAACAATCCAAGCTGGGTTCGGTTCGGTTCGTTTACGCACTAGTCATAACATGAAAAAAATTACTATTTTGGTTCCCTTCTTTAAGCCATAGAATTCTAGATTTTTGAAGCCAGAATTGCTCCTCAGAACAGTGTGTTGCATCTAATTCCTTCTGCGGTCTTTACCATTCCATCCAATTTCTCTCCCTTCTAATTTCCTCATTTCAACAAGCTTCATGGTTAGGCTGTCAGTGGCTGCTCTCTTATCTAAGTAAAGAACATTATTCCACTGGACTAGAGAAGTCATTGTCTTCTTAATTTTTTCTTTCAAGATAAACATAGGAGTACCTTCAGAGCATTCATTCCATGCATGAGCAACTGTTTTCTCAAATCCCTGCCTTTGAATCCACCTATTGTCAAAATGGAATCCCCTCTTCTTGCTTTTGGTTTTCTGCCCATCTTCAATCAACATCAAGTTGTGGTCTGAAGCACTTTTGATAATATTCTGCACACTGGCTTGGGGGTGCTTACTCAACCACTGGTATGATGCAAAAACCTTGTCAAGCACTTCTTCCACAGAACCATTTCCCTCTCTGTTATTGCCCTAAGTAAATTTGTGACCCTCCATTTGAACCAGACACATCCTCATCTGAGCAATAAAATCATTAAACCCCTGAAAGCTTCTTGCAGGTCTGATTTTACCACCCTGATTCTTCTCTTGGCAGTTGATATCATTCCAATCCCCATTGATCATCCAACAATCTTCCCACTTTCTTTTCTCCTCCACCAAAAAGTGCCAGTGCAATGCCCTCTCCTGCTTAATTGTGCTGATGTATACAAATATAGCCCATTCTGCTTGTAGAGGACCCTTAGTTGTGAATTGAACTTATATGTTGAAGTCATTGCTATTTGGGGATAATGTATCAGTATCTCTGTCCCAACACAACAATAAGCCTCCTCTGGTGCCTTGAGGTTCCAAATAATGCCAACCTCCTCCAAAACCTAATCTTTTACAAATGTTAGAAATATATATATATATATATATTAACCTCAGACAAAAAAACAAAAGTTGGATCGTGAGCTAAAATGGTCTCTCGCAATTGGAAAATTGTGGAGGGCCCACCCAACCCACTAAAGTTCAACACCACAACTCTCGTTGGCCATGTTGGGGCCATTTGCGGTTGTCTTCCTCCACCATGGTATCTTTCAGTTTGATCTTCTTGAGTTGAACAACTTCCAATTTGTTTCCCTATTTTCGGATTGTCATTAGCTTTTGCTGCCAATGTTCTTTTTTTCCTCTTTAAGGGTGTTTATTGTTTCCATTAAGTTGGAGCTTCTCAGAGGTCTACCTTCTTTGGATGAGTTTCTCTTCCAAGTTTTGTTCCTCTTTATCTCCTCTGGTAGCTTGAATTCTATCAACTGAGTATCTGAAGGGCTGTCTTTGGTTATCACCCTTGGTGCTATTATCTTTTCAACTTGCACCTGATCATTGGTACTCATTGGCACAGTGTTGTCTCTTTCACCTCCTTTCTCGACTGGATTCACATATGAGGAAAATTCCACCATAGTCAGTGCTGGGACTGTGTGGATCACAAGATTATTTGATACTCTTGACGGCTGTTGTCTTTGTTGGTTGAATCTCTAGGGTCTTCTCCTTCTTCACTGTGATGGTCATTTGAATGGTTACTTTGGCTAGGTTCCTCTCTTTGGGTAGATCCTTTTGTTGCCGATTTAGATTCCACTCTTATCCCTACTGCTTTGACCCAATCTCCATATTGGCCTTCTTTCACCTTCTTGCATTCAATGTCCTCTATTTTTTTTCTGCAACTTCTATCCAAGTGGTCGATTCGACCACAATAAACACATAAATTAACTAGTTTCTCGTACTTCAGATGCACAATAACCTGAGTGTTGCCTAACCTGATATTAGCCCATCTTGGTAGGGGCTCTTTTAGGTCAATGTTGGCTAGAACCCTCAGAATCCTTCCTCTCTTTCCTCCTGCTCTCGCCACATTCACGTTCTTCACCCCTTGAATATACCACCTACTTTAAGCCCAACATTAGTGCACAACTAATTCAGTGGGATATTGTGCAATTGAACCCATAAGCTGATCTCCTCAAAACACTCATCAGTGCCCTTAAGGCCTGCGTGTCAGTCTTTGAGAATCAGGTATTGATTCTCAAAAATCCAATTCCTTCCTCTATCCACTTAGCTACTTCTTCTAAGTTTGGGAATATAAATTGAAAGAAATTGTTGCTTAATTCCCTATCCAAGCTTACGCCATTGCCCGTTTAACTCCAATCATATGGGCCCGTCTATCTCCCACTATCCTCCCAAAGAGGCTTCTACGACATTCATCTCCACCAAGTCGAACATCCTGTTATGCAATGTCTTATAACTGATACATCATTTTCCGATAAAGGAAATAGCTCCATCAACTCTTCTAATTCTGCTTCGCTAGATTCCATACCTCGACAGTGTTACAGACCTCACCTCAGTAGTAATAGAGCACTCTTACTCCGAAATAATCGAATCCGCAATATCACTACACCAATCGATATGAAAAACCCTGAGCCCCAATTAAAACTCCCATTAGAGAGATGAAAACTCTCATTAGAGAGATATATTTACTAATAGTTAGAGTTTCAAATGTAATTTACAATTAATTTTACTTATAATTTTAAGAGAAAATTACACTTTGTCCACCAAACTATTCACTTTTTTACACATTGCCCACCAAACTTCGTTTTATGACACTTAACCAGGCAAAACTTCGTGAAATGTTGCACTTCGCCTGTTTCCGGTCACCGGCAACCATTCTCAGGGGCTTTTCTGTCCTTTCATTAACTAAAATAGGGGCAAAATTGTCTGAACACATCTATCCTAACTAATAACTGATCTTAAAACCTAAATTGAAGAAAAAAAATCCCAAATCGCAAGAACCCTACTTTGAAGCTTGAAGAAATGGCGGAAGAGGTGATTTGGAGGCAAACATCCGAGGTCACTTTGGACAAGTATTGCAGGTGTGGTAAGAAGACGGTGATGATCACATCTTGGACGGACAACAACCCGGGAAGGCGGTTTGCGACCAGCAAACGAGTACGTTTTTTTTTTCCTTTTCTGTAGGTTTTTTTTTTTATAATATGATACTATAATTTTATTGTCAGAATGGCTGCAAATATTATGTTTGGATCGACCCTCCAATGTGCACAAGAGCTCAAAAAATCATTCCAGGGCTTAAGAGACGTCTTGACGAGGCTGAAGCCGAGTTGGCAAGCAAGAGAAAACGGGCAAGAAAAATGTGGTTTGCTCTTGTTGCTTCTTGGATCATTCTGTATTTTTTTTCTGAGAAAATGAAGTAGTGTGGTTTAATGTGTGAGATATGTTTTGGTGGAATGTGTAAGACTTCTTAATGAAATGTGTAAGGCTTGTTTTGTAGAATGTGAAAGAATTCTCAATGTAATGCTTAAGACATGTTTTACTGCAATATTGCCTCTTGTGTGTGCAAGACATTTTTTCCTTTATGCATTGAATAAATTGTGATGATTCTGTCATGAATCTTGAGTTACAATTAACAGAAAAAACTCATCACAATATGTTAAACTCAAACAAACAAAATATCACCACAGATTGCCATGAATATGTCATCAATAAATTGACTACAATGTCAATACAAAAATCATTTCCCAACAAAAGCCAAACTGGGCAATGTTAAACCATTTCCTCTGCAAATACTACACAATCTGATAAGTCATAACATCATTCATTCATTGTTAAACATCAACATTCTTACAAAATATTACCAAACACACCAAACTGGGCATCAGTAGCAAAACCAAACTGTCTGCAGCAAAACCAAACTGTTGAAAACTTCACATTACAAAAGCAAAACGAAAACCAAACACCAAACTGTCTGCTAACAACCACAAACCAAACAAAAGTAAAACCAAATTGTCTGCCAACAACACTTCACATTATCTAGCATGCCTATCTTTTTCTGGGGTCTTGTTGCTTTTATTCTTTCCCTTGTGAATGTTCATTTTTTTGGCTTTAGGTGCATTCTGAGATTGTTGGGTAGCAGTTCCACCACTAAAACACTCTTCAAGAACTCTTTTAGCACACTGTGAAACAAGTATATGTGTTTGTTACTATCTAATCAGGAACTTCACCATATCAAACTTAAATTAACTAATTATTACCTTAGTGTTTGCCCTTGTAGCCTACAATGTAAACATAAAATGGTTAGAGAACAACAATACATTTCTATAAATCAGATAATAACAAATGTTTATAAATTGTACCATTCTTCCAATTTCATTTGTTGCTGCAGAAACTGGACTTTTAGTTCTTGATCTTGTGACTACAAATACGAAATAAACTGAGATTAATGAACAAAAATTAGAATATAAAATGATTACAACTAATTGTTATAAATTGTAGCACTCCTCCAATTTCATTTCTTGCTGCAGAAACTGGACTTTTGTTAATTCTTGATCTTGTGGCCTAAAATGCAATAATAAACTGCAATTAATTAACAAAAATGAGAAAATATAAAAAGATTACAAGTACTGGTTATAAATTGTACCACTCCTCCAATTTCATTTCTTGCTGCACAAACTGGACTTTTGTTAATTCTTGATCTTGTGGCCTAAAATGCAATAATAAACTGTAATTAATTAACAAAAATGAGAAAATATAAAAAGATTACAACTACTAGTTATAAATAGTACCACTCCTCCAACTTCATTTGTTGTTGACAACACATTTGACCCTTCACCTCTTGATGCAGAAACATGTTTAGTTTTTGATCTTGTGGCCTACAATACAATATAAACTTAGATTAATGAACAAAAACTAAAACAAATATAAATTCTAATTAATGAACGAATGATTATAATTTGTACCTTTCTTGCATTCTCATTGGCAGGTGGCACATCTAACCCTTGAGTGGTTTTTTCAGAAACAGGTTTTTTAGGACAACCCCTAGCATTATGATTTGGTTGCTTACAAAATGAACATTTCATGACCACTCCTTTTTTGCTGAGCTTCACACCATTGCCAGTTTTATGTGTGCTCTGATTCTTTCCACTGGTTTCATCTTTGTTTCTCCTCCTTTGATATTTCTTAGGCCTCCCAGGTAATCTCCCAACTGCTGGTGGGACTAATGGATAAGCCTCAACCTCAGGCCACTCATCTGAGCTAACTAAAGTCCCCATCAAATGACTGTAAACCCTCAAATAAGTTTCTTTCTTCAATGATTCATCAACATAATCCTCAGGTTTATGACCTAAGTAATACATCCCTGATATGGCATGTTGACAAGGCATGCCACTGAGCTCCCACTTTCTACAACTGCATGTTTTCTCACTAATGTGAACCTTAAACTTGGTTCCTGAACTGCCCTCAACTTCAAACTGGTCCTTACCATTCCGATATGCCACAAATTCCATGCTCTTCTTTTTCAATTCTTCAAGCATCTTATCAATTCTAGGGCAAAGATCTCCATGATATTTCAGCATTTGATCCCTCTTAACATGGATCCTCTTCATCAGGGTCATCCTCACCATCTCTAACATTTTCACTATTGGTTGAGATCTAGCCCTTGAATCAAAGCATTGAAACTTTCTGACAAGTTATTCAACAGAGCATCACATTTAGAGTGTGTACTGAAGTGAGACCAAGACTAATGTGCAGGTGGCCTAGCATTTAACCATTCAAAGGCAGGTACATCCCTTTGTTTCAGCTCCATCATGGTGTTCTTGAAATCATGAACTCTGGTGGCTCTTGCAGCTTTCCACAGCAAAGTCTTCAGGGCTAGACCCTTATGTGAGGCTTTGAAATTGGCATATAGATGTTGCACACAAAACCTATGCTCAGCCCCAGGTAGAAGAGTGTCAATGGACTCTACCAAACCTTTTTTCTTATCTGACATGAATGTCCAATGGTAGGGGTTTCTAATATTCAAATCATTAATTAGTAACTCCAGAAACCAGCTCCAAGATTTTTTCTTCTCCTTTTCAACTACTGCATATGCAAAGGGATACATGCCATTGTTGGCATCTATGCCCACAGCAGTCAACATAACCCCCCCCCAATTGATGTCTTCAAATGACACCCATCTAAGAATATCACCGGCCTACACCCATCTAACAACCCATCCCTTAAGGCTTCCCAGCATATATATAACCTTTTAAAACAAGTTTGTTCCCCAATCCTCTTACACTTGATTTTGACTGAAGTGCCAGGATATTTTTTTCTAATTTCAGCAGCATAGGACCACAACATGACAAACTGTTCACAATGTCCTCCAGACCCACTTGCTAACACTTTCTATTTGGCCCTATATAACTGACTAGTGTTGAAAACAAGCTTGTGCTCACTCTGCATGACTTTCTGCATGGACTCAACAGGCCATCTAGGATCAGACCATATTTTTTCTCTATAAGTTTTAGCCAACCATTTGGAGTTGGCATGACACACCTTTTGCTTCCTAGGGCATTTGTGTATAGGGTTATACTTCCTAACTTGAACACTGTCTTCACCTGACAAAACTGCAGCATAAATGACCCATGGACACTTTTGATGCTTACATTTCACCTGAACTTTAGTTTTCTCATTTATTTTGAAACAAACATCTCTACCATTCTTTATTGCACTTTCTCTCACTGCTTTTCTGAATTGGGCCATATTAGGAAAGAACATTCATAGTTCAAACTTGTGATCATTCATATTTGTCTTCTCATTGAAAATTGCATGACCCTTGTGACCCTTACTACTTTCTGCCCTAGTTTTGTCAGACTTTGAAAGATTATGAGATAAGTCCCTCATCTCACCCCCAAACTCAACATCAAGATCAATATTATCATCAAACCAATTATCATCACATTCAAAATCAGATTTCTCTCCTTCACTGTCATCAAAAGTTTCAGATAATTCAGAACTTGACCCTAAGGATTGCTCATCATCAGTATCACTAATCAAACCATTATCAATAGTAGAAGGATTTTCAATCAGTTCATATTCATCATTATCACCTTCATTATCACCTATAAAATCCAAAGGCTCACTAACTGAAAGAAGTTCAGCTGAGTTTTCAGAGGTGTTTATTTCAGAGGTGTTTATTTCATGTTCCACATACAAACCAAGTAATTTATGTTCATCCACCATAAACACCATTTGCATGACAATGTTATCATCTTCTAACAACACAAGGTCATTGCAGTCATTAACACCACTCCTACTGCAGTACACATTTTTTATAGCATCAATCCCTAAATCTTGTAGCATGCTCATTACTTCAATCAAGGACAATTCATCAGGATGACAATAATCGACATGTGAAATCTCACCATTTAGATAGAACTTGCGGCCCAAATCCACAAACTTGCCAGAATGGTAAACCCTAATTGTAAAATAATCATCATTTGGTCCTGCAAGCCATATGACAATTACAATAATATAATCAATCACTATAAATTGCAAAATTATTGGTCTGAATAATTGTTGTATGAATTAATTTCTCAGCAAAAAACAGAAAACAAAACTTACCATATGACGGACCATTTGCACTTGATGAATCATTTTTCTCACAAATTTGCCAACCCATTACTAACGATTTGAAGGAATATAACTTTTTTATCATGTCATTTGATTTGTTCTTCTTTTTTCTCAGAATTTTGGAACGATTTGAACAAACTAGGGTTTTTTTTGGTTGTGTGTGTCGCGTTTAATTGAGCCCCAATTGAGATTTGGGGATTTTGTACCCGTTTTAGTTAATGAAAGGATAGAAAAGCCCCTGAGAATGGCTGCCGGTGACCGGAAACAGACGAAGTGCAACATTTCACGAAGTTTTGTCTGGTTAAGTGTCACAAAACGAAGTTTGGTGGGCAATGTGTAAAAAAGCGAATTGTTTGGTGGGCAAAGTGTAATTTTCCTTAATTTTAATAAATATTATACATTTATACCATGTAATATTTTATATTTATATGTACATAAGTTGATGTTAATAAATTTTATTGTAAAATTTAACATCTATGTAAGGGGATAATTGCACCAAACCCCCCTG